AAGTCGTGGAGCTTCTTCAGGATTCTAGTTCTGCTTCGCAGCGAAGAAAATTGGAGCATTCTCGAAGAACCACACTCGCTCCGGTAATCATCAAGTTCTTTCTTCCACATCTCAATTGCATATTTATTTTATCGTTCTCTTCTATTCACTTTATCTGAAAGAATCTGGAAAATCCTTCTATAATAGGATTCGTTGCTGTTCCTAAAAATGCTGGGAGATGGTGAAATCACAGAGGATCCAACCATTGAAGCGAGCAGCAAGGAGGCATGCGATTTGAAAGCGACGAAGCGTTTTGCCGACGATATCATGCCTCATATTCTCAATCTGTTAGTTCCTTCTTGATTCTCTCTCGTTTTTTAACCTTTTTTGTGTGTGTTTTTGCTTCGAGACGGTAGTTTGGTTTCGTTGTTAACGTCTTTGAACAATGGATTAACCTTCTAGTTATGGATCTTCTGCAACGCCTCGGGATTTTGAAATCTACGCTGCCGATGCTTCATTCGAGGATCCACTGACGAGAGCTCACGGGTAATCACTGTCGGATTGGATTTTAGAAGATATACTTGCTGACTTATGATTCATATATTTGAAAAAGCAATTGAAAGATCATTAGCGACGACGAGTAGCTTGTATTTTTTTTTTTTTTTCTTCTTCTTACAAGTAGGTGTCATTTGTAGTAACTCATGATTGTTTATTTAAAAGTTGCTCTTTTTTTCGATTCTGCAGAGTGAAGGAAATCAAATCGGCATTTTATTCTCTGTCCAAGGTTCTTATCACTTCCACTTTTCGCAACTGGTTCATTTAATTTTGACATATAACATATACGTTTACAATTGAAAGTTCACTCAACTTTGTTTCGGTTTTGGAGGAGAGAATCTTTCTCTGCGTTGAAATTGCTGATATGAATGCGATGATCAAATCATTTAAGATGAACCTTTCATCCAAAATTTTGTCTCGGTTACAAGGAAATTAATAGATGCGGATAACATATCTTAATACTTCTGTTCATTATTCAATGCATCAAAGTGATACATTAGAGACACTGCTCATATGTTGGACACCAAATTCTCACTATAAGGAAAGCCTTGAATTTCAACTTTCATTATATGAATGATCTCATAGTCCCACTCTTATCATTGTATCATGTCTGTTCCTGGTTCTTGTGATGTCTAAACTTTTGATAAAATAAGTAATCGAAGTTTATATTCTAATTTGGATGTGTCTTCATGTCCGATTCATGTTGATTCAAAGAAATATTGTCAACACTTTCCTATATGAACTTTTTATTAATGACCGATACTTCCATATATGAACTTTGATCCAAGATGAACATATCAATGGAGCTTGTCAAAAGGATTTGAATCTTTTGTGAGTAGAAAATGAGAAATGAAATTTTATCTAAGTAGTGTATTAAGCCTTTTGTGTTGCTGGATCTTGATCCTTTTTGTTGCAGTTGGAATGATTCTTTTTTGTACTCAGGTCTTTAGTGAATCAAGAATTGTGGAATACAGTGTCAAAGAGAAACTTATTTCCCCTGGAAAACACGAGGTGCACGATCTAGTGCAAGCACTATTGTGTTCTTCTCATATCAATTTATTAATGTTTATAGTTTGACAAGAACTTAGAACTTTGAACACAGATTACAGTCGATAATAAGCAACACTACAAGTTTCTGGGAAGAAACATAGATTTGGAATCCCTCATCAAGTTGTATGTTCTTGAAGGAAAAATAGTTCGTCATGAGGACTGGTATGTTAGCCGATCACCCTTTCATTCCTTTGAATTAATTAACGGGTTATATATAGTAAAGCTATATTTGGTAAATTGTAAATAGCTTTGTCTCGTCCTAAAAACACTAAATTGTCATAAACAGTAAAGAGTACATGTGGTAGGTAGTTATATTGGTAGATGACTCTATCCGAAAAACTATATATGTGGTAGGTAGTATTAATGGTTGATGACTCTATCTTTAAGGTATATATAGTAAGCTAAACCATATATATTTATATATATATATATCAACGGAGGTTCGAGAATGTAGTATTATTTGTATTCTCTGTCCATCCATGAAGTCATATACAAATTCTTTAGCCGATATTCTCATTGCCTGTTCTTTGTGTTCATCTAGATCGAGTGTGTGCGTTGTTGTGCGATCCTAACAACTCCCTTGAATGGCATCTGCTTTTTTATCATTCTCTTGTTTGCAATTGTGCTGTAACCCTTGAAAATTTGAGCAACTCGCTTTAAAATTATGCAAACGATCTTGTTCTGTTATTATCTGATAATTGAATATGGAACTGTTCATCAGGTGGAATAAGAAACCACTTTTGAATAGAGAAACAGTGAAGTTACCAATGGTGGGTCGAGTTTTGGAAATGACTCGCAGATGTGCGATGTTAGCAACTCATGCAATGATGAGATTTGGCAAGGATTGAACTGTACCAAACCCATCCATTAAACTGAATCAGTATAGCTTCTGTCTTTCACTATGTAGATTTACAGTGTATCACCTCAATGGAAATGAGAACAAAGGTTAGTACATTACTACAAGTTTGTATTTTCTAAATTGTACAAGTTTGTATTCTCTAAATTTTGTTGCGATGATGATGTAAGTAGTTGATCGTTAATTTTAATGTTGTGTGAATTTTAAAAAACATTAAAGGTAGGGTGTGAGATCCCACGTTAGTTGGAGAAAAGAACAAAGCATTATAAGGGTGTGGAAACCTCTCATAGCAATAGGTGTTTTAAGATCATGAGGCGGATGACTATATGTAACGGACTAAAATAGACTATTTGCTAGTGATGGGTTTGGACTTTCATAGTTGATATCAGAGTTAGACACCTGGTGGTGTGTCAACAAGGACGCTGGCCCCCTAAGGGAATGGATTGTGAGATCACACAGGCTGGAGTGGGGAACGAAATCTCTCTCCAGCAGACTCGTTTTAAAACCTCGAGTGGAAGTTGAAAAAGAAAGAAAAGCCCAAAAAAAAAGACAATATCTATCAATTGAACTCGACCGTTACAATCATCTTTAGAGCACTCAAAATCAATTGATGTACCCATTCGATTTATGTAGGGCAATTGTCATCAAAGTAACCATGCTCTCAATGGAAACTTCCAACATTTGAATGAAAATGTTGAGTTTCTAGAAGCACTTTCAACGTGTCGAATTAAATCTACACAAACTCAGCTTGAACTTGTGTATTTATATGTATGTGTATTAGCTTAGTATAAGCTTAATCTTTTATCTATCCCAACATTAAACCTATAAACCCTATAAACGAGAACTATTATCGTAATATTTTAAAATATAAGAATGATACATATACGAGCATCCACAAACTTAGATTAAAAAAAAATATAAGGCACATTAAAATATAGCATCATATAATTTAATAATCTAGATAGGTCACTATTTGACACCTAATATATACATAATTGGTTGACATTTTTAAGTTTCAATTACAATCCAATTTGGCTTAATTAACTACAATACTATGTATAGAATACAATATATATATATATACAATCCCCAAAAGAAGTAAAGTGAGGAAGAAATCTGGAATTCTATACGGTTTCTGTGATATGATCATCATCTTCTTCATCAAGCTCCTTTGGAATGGATGATCGATCCAGCGATCTCAGAGTCGATGCACAAGAAGAAGAAGAAGAACAAGAAGAAGAAGAAGATTCAGTGCATGTGTAATAGTTAGAATCTGAATTAGAACTCAAGGAAGAACAAGATGAAGCATGAAGAACATCGATGAGTAAATCCACAAAAGCCCCAAAAATGAAGCGATGGTTGTTCTTCCAATTGGCCTTCAGATACCATCCCAAGAGCTCCTCCAATCCATCCCAATCTTTAACACCATGGCTCTCCACCATTTCCCCCATCGATTTCCGGAAATCCTCGTACGGATTCTCCGACTCGATCGACACAATCAAGCTCTCTTTAAACCCTAACAACAACGCTTCGGATTCAATCGGCTCAATCGGCTTCGATTTCTCGAGGATCGAGCTCGTGTCGTCCGGTTCGAAGAAGAGCCTCTCCGATCTGGCGCCGCGGACCACTGTCTCGAGTGATTCTTCGCCGTCGGTCAACTCCATCTCCGTCGCGGTGGAGTTAGTTGCAGAGAGCGATTCGGAGGAGTTGGTGAAGAGTGAAGAATCGAAGGCGGTGGTTTGCCATGGCTGTCCTGCTCTGGATTTGAAAATGGAAGGGAACTTCATGAGGTTCTTCTTCTTGCTGGTGTTGGCCATTGGAGGTTGAAGGTGGGATTTCAATGGCGGATTTTGCAGAGAAAATTTGGGATTTTAAAGGAGGAAGGAAGAAGATGGGAACTGTTGAGGGATTTCATGTGTGCATTTAATTTGTAGGTTTCCACAATTTAATGCTCAATTTAATTCTCTCTCCCCTTTCCTTCCTAACTGAATTTAACCGTCCTCTCACTTTTTCAATTAATTTGTGTATACCTGTCATCACTAGATACGTACTTTTTAGGAAATTTTAAAATATGTCTGATAGTTTACACTTGTATAAATAATGCTTAGTTTTCCTCTCAACCGATGTGTGATCTCATAGTTTAGTATATATTATTGGTCAAAAGATCAAATAACTCAGCAAGTTGAGTGTATACAATGGACCTGAGATCGAGTGATTAGTAACTAATCCTTAAGATGTTGAAAAATTAATATTTTTGAAAATTATATACAAAAGTTAATAAAAATACTTATTATTTATTATACATATGATATTTGAGTAAAATAGTACATAGATGAATCGAGATCACATTTGAATTAGAGCGATTTTGAGAATAAGATATCTTAAAATCGCTCTAATTCAAATCTAGTTTCAATTCATCTATATACCCATTTTTTTACACGTTCAATGGGTTAATCGGAACACAATTTCATACTATCGGTCCAACTAATTAACACAACCTTTGACCAAAAAGTCAAATGGACAAGAGTGAGAGAGAGAGAGAGAGAATTTGAAGGTTTCCTTAAATGTGCATCTTCAATAGAAGAATTCACAACACACACAAGGGTCAAATCCGTCTTTTCGCCCAACAAATTTAACAATCATTAAGCTATGAAATAATCTTATAATTAATAATTTAGAACCTTAATTAATCCAAAGAGTGAAGATTAGCATTAAACACGGTTATAGGACTCCTCACTTTATGCTTACCATCATCCCACACCAAAGCCGCCGATTCAACACCTTTCCTAATTTGTCCTCCAATTCTAACCTCAAAGCTTAGCTCCTCTCCCAACCTCTTGAACAAAAGAACAGAGGGCTTCACCGTAATTTTAAGATCCCTCCACGGGTTAACTATCACGGCTTTATACGACGTCGCATAGCTCGACCCGACATTTGTGACTCTTCTTCTGAAAACTTGGCTGATGGGGTTTGAGGCGTTCGTGGAAAGAGCAAAGGATGGGTAGTTGAGTTCGAAAACTGTGCCGGAATTGTTGGCTGAGCAAGAGGCATTGTCGTCGGAGAGTCGCCGGAGCGACTCGGTGGAGTAGCCTTGACCACATAAAAACTTCACGTAGTCGGTCTCTGAAGCGTTGTAGATCAAGCCTGGATGGACTGCGCCCAGTGGGTTTATGTGGCCCGCGCCGTATGCTAACTCGCCGTCTGGGTTACGTTTATGGCTCATTGGAAATGCTGCATTCATATATTAAATAATAACTTAATGTTTGGATTTGAATTCCAAATATCTAATCTAAATCCATTAATTAAAAAAATTAATATTTCACCGCTCAGTTATGAACTTCTGTTAGTGAGAGCTTATATTTTGATTTGCATGGGCGAGAATGACTATAATTAATTCAATATATCTATAATTTTGAGGATTTAGACCAGAGTTCATTTATTTAAATTAATAAAAGTAAAATGTCTATATATATTTTCAAAAATTAACCATTATTTTTTTTAGATTGGTAAGAATACATAATAAAAAATAATGTATATATATATAATTGTGTCCTAAAAAAAATATTTTTAAAAAAATTAGGAACATTTGATTTAATTCAATAAAAAATTTATAAATCAATTGAATTTATAAAATTTTTATTTATTTAAATTCGGCCCACCTAGATAAATTCACAATCCAACCAATCCCATTGAGTTGATAAATGAATTTATATTTATTTTCATAAATAAATCGAGTTTATATTTATTAAAATATATAATTATACATTTTAAAATTTTAAAATCAAAATTTAAATACACTAATAACATAAAAAAAAAAATGTAATTTCCGGGTAATTTCAAAAAATTATTTTAATTAGCTAATAATTCTTAAAATAAAAAAAAATAAAAAATAAAAAAAAAAGTGAAAAATATGGGGAGCTGTGTTTTATTAATTACCTGTTGTGATAAGGGCTGATTTAAGAGCAGCCGGAGACCAAGTGGGATGGAAGGACTTAACATAAGCGGCGGCGGCAGTGACATGCGGGCAAGCCATGGAAGTGCCCGAAATGACGTTATAAAGAACCCTTTTATTATCTTCTTCAGCTCCTGAGGGTGACACTGTGGAAGGCCATGCTGCCAGGATTTCAACGCCAGGCCCTGATATATCCGGCTGCATAAATCATTTAGAATTAATATAATATAATAATTAAATTAAATTAAATTAAATTAAATTAATTAATTTACCTTCAGAATGTTGGGGGTTATTGGGTTTGGACCCCTTGAAGAAAATGATGCAACAAAAGGGGCTCTATTACGTTTTCTCCCTCTGCTCTTCATTATACTTGCTGTTGGAACCCTGTAAATCATCATGTATGTAATTATTAACGTGTTCTAATACCCGATAGCTGGGCTGTGCCCATTTTTTTACGGCTCTATTCTAGCAAGAAAAATGTGAGATTCTATGTTGGTTAGAGAGTAGAACGAAACGTTCTTTACACGACAGTGTGGAAACCTCTCCTAACAAACGCGGTGAGTTTAGGTTGTTACAGAAAAAAAACTGAAATATTTTCTAAAAAGATATAAAATTTACTATGTGACAAATTGTGGTTCGATCACTGAGCTACACCGTAAAAATGGTCACAACTCTACTAGCAAACTTAGGGTGTTAGCGGGTTGAGTTTAGATATTTTTTTTTTAGACATAACCCAATTATAGGAATTACAAATTTTTCAACTCAAACAAGTCTGGTAACTTAATTTTAAAATTTTAATTAAGATTTACGGCCTAATTTAATATATTTAAAAAAGATATATTTTAATTAGTTTAAAATTATTTGAAAATAAATAATAAAAAGAGTTAATTATAAAAATAAAATAAATATATGTATGGACTAAGAAAAAAAAATATTTTAAAATTAACAATAAATTCGAGTTTGACGGTTTGGGTAAAATTCAATTAGGGTAAAATACAAATAAATTAAGGTTAAATATTGATTTACCTGGTTGAGTTGATGTAAGAGAGAATGAGAGCGCCAGGTTTTGGGCCAACATGAGAAGCAGGCAATGGATAAGAATTGGTATCGTCTTGTGGGGATTCGTCTTGCATTATAATTCCGGCGGCGCCTTCTACGGCCACAACTCCGCCGGGAACGGCTAACGAATCACATACTACAATTTTACCTTTTACCCTCTCCTTGTCCACTGTGTTCTCGAAGCACATTCTGTTTTTCCAAGGTCAAATTAGTCATTTCACCTCTACACTCAATTATTTATTTAATTTTTCTCTAAAATAAATTCATAATTTACCTCGACACCGATCTGTCGAATGGAGCTTTAGGGATATCTCCCGCATAAACCAATGGAATTTGTGTTCCGTTTAGGTCAAATGTATTGACGCTGACTCCCTTCATAAACCAAATGAAAATATTTTCATTTAATTTCATAATCTTTTTACGAGAGAAAAAATTAATTAATTTTCTTACGTTGAATTCTCGTCCATCTCCAAGCTTAACTTTAGTTTCGAATTTTCGATCAGTGGTGCTAGCGGCTACCGACAACGACCACGGCGAGAAGTTCACAATGGTTGTGAATTCTGGCCCGTTATTTCCAACGGCCAATGTCGTGAGGATTCCCTTCTGCATTGCATGGAAAGATCCAATGGCTATGGAGTCGTTGAAGTAATCTTTCACACTCGAACCCCCAAGAGAGCCAGAGATGATATCAACACCATCAGCAATGGCATCGTCGAATGCAGCAAGAATATCAGCGTCAGTGCAGCCGTCGGACCAACATACTTTGTAAGCAGCAATGCGTGCTGATGGGACTCCACCCCTTGCCGTGCCAAGGCCGAGACCCAACATACTCGCTTGCCGAACTAACCCTCCAGCCACTGTCGATGCTGTGTGCGTCCCATGGCCATCCGAATCTATTGGACCTTTGATGTCGTTCTCTAAATGTTTACCATTACTCCGATATGATCTCGCTCCAATAATTTTACTAAAAAAAAAAAAAAAAATCCCATTTAGACCCTAAGTTAATAAATAAATTTTAAAATATATATATATATATATAGCTTACTCGTTGCAAGAGAAATTGGCGGAGACTTCACAGCGACCCCTCCACTTGGCTGGCGGCGGACCGTATCCTGCGTCGTCAAAGCTAGGAGATTCCGGCCAAATTCCGCTGTCGAATACTCCGACAATGATGTTACTTTCCACCGCCGGAACTCTCTTGACTTGTTCGGAGAAGCCCATGAAATCCCAAGACCTTGTAGTGTGGAGTTGTTTTTTTCCATTGGGAAATACCGAAATTACCCCTTCCATTTCTGAACCAGAGTTTAAATACACAAAAATAAATAAATAAATAAAAACTCATAATAAAGAGAGCCCTTGAAATATACCCGAAACTTTCTTGGCTTCGGCTTCAGTCAGCTTAGCCACAAAGCCATTGAAGCTTCTCTTGTAGCTATGGATTAAAGACCGTGGAGCAAAATTACTGCAAAAAAAAAAAAAAAAAAAAAAAA